AAAGGGAAAAAGGGAAAAGAAAAAATATGAGAAAAGGAAAAAAAATGGAAACAAAGTCTTTGCAAATAGGGAAGGGTGGAGGGGGTGAAGGGAAGGCATGGGAATGGGGAAAAAAATAAGAACCAAGATATTCATGTAATGGTACAAGATTCCAATGATGAATGTAACTGTATTTTATACCTAAAAAGTACCAATAAACTTAATGGGGGAAAAAAAAGAAGTTTCAATAGTCTTATATCTTAATGTTTAATGGGTTGTGATAATGTATGTAAAGCTTCGAATACAGTGAACAGTGAATAAAGTTTCAAAAAGTAGTATGTTTCTATAAAATAAGTCATTTACTACTTAGCAACAAGTGTGGTTTGTGTCATGAATGGAACAAAGTAGGGTGGGAAGGTGCACTGGGGGGACAACCTGCACTTATAGGGTCAGGGCAGTATGCCGTTAGCAGGCCAACGCAGGGGAATTTGAACAAACTGAGATGAATAAGTCTCTTTTCTTAGTTCCTTCTAACAGCTCAGAAATTCACATAGAGGAGCTGAGTGTGGTGGTGCACATCTATAATCCCAGTACTTGGGAGGCTGTGAGTTTGAGGCCAGCCTGGGCTACACAAGCAGAGAAAAAAAAAAAAGAAAGAAGAAGCTAATTCACACAGATGGCCAAGCACACATGAACCACAAAGGCATTGCGAGTCTGTGTATGCTTCCTTCCAGGAACATCATCACAACGTGGCGCAAGTGCCTGCAGGCCTGCCTCCCACATTTGGACAGAACTTTTTAAAAACAGATAAGCCCCAAAAATCTCTTCCTTCATTCCTGAAGCTCTTGACTTAAAACTTCAGAGGGAAGAAATATAGCTATTTCAAAAAAAAAAAAAATAGCTATTTCATACACAGGAGAGGCTTGGAGTCTAAGTAACTGGTGCTCTCAAGATCAGGAACCAAAATTAAAGTACTATTTCTCTGAAGAAGACCTGTTAATATGCAGTGTTTCCCAAAAGCCTTGTTATTATACTCTGTATAAAACAAAGCACTTGATGAACCTTAGTGAAGAAACTAAAAGGTAAGTATAAACTGAATCTAAA